AACAATTGGCTCCCCCCCCTCTACGGAGCGACCCTGACACCGACCAATACCTCCCTCCCCTTTTAAGTGAGCATGACATTGACCACCAAGAACCCCAGGGCCCCGTTCCAAGTGAGCCTTCCACTACCCCCCCCCCCCCCCCCAGTACACTGGTAACCCACCCCACCCCGGAGAGAGAGAAGAGATTTCCAGGGAAACAAGAGTCAGGTTCTACAATACACCATCAGAGCAGCCCGCAGCCTCTCTCAGATCCCCACTGGACCCCAAGCTGCGTGTGTCCCTCTTCTCCATCCCGTTTCTTTTGCGGGGGCTGGGCGCTGCCCCCCTGAAAAATGGCGGCTGCCCCCACCATGAAAAATGGACGCCTAAGTGCAAATGCCGTGTAGTAAAATAACGACGCCCCTGACATCACAGCCCCTACCTCTCTCAGATTTTCATTAAGGCAGTTGTGGGCGGGGCCTAGGTAGCCCTAGTGGGGGACAGTAAGAACTAGCCTCCCTAATTGCCTGGGTTCTAAGGAGGGGTTTGTGGTCAATATGAAATCAACATTAAGTAATAACTGAAGGCAATAATTTTTTTTAAATAACAAATCGTTAACCTTACCTGCTCTATGCAGTAGATTTGCACAAAGTCCTGATCCTCTTCTTATGTCCCTACCAGCGCTTCTGGCTACTCCTTCCTGCTTGGGTGCCCCCAAGCAAGCAGCCTTGCTACAGAGGCACCCAAGCAGGTGCTGCTTCCGTGTATCCATTCACACATGGAGCCGTGGCTCGCCCTGCCGCCTCTCCTCATATTGGCTCACTGCCTGTGATTGGCATCAGTGGTTCCAGCTGCTGTCTTAGCCAATGAGGGGAGGGAGTCCCTCTCGGGATAGCCAAGACTCCAGTGCACATTGCTGGATCGAGAGGGGGCTTAGGTGAGTATTGGGGGGCTGAGGGGGATGCTGCACAATGAAGGTTTTTTTACCTTCATGTATGGAATGCATGAAGGTAAAAAACATTTTAGCCTTCACAAACACAACCACATAAAAACAACTAACATCCAGACGTAGAAGTGAGCCATACTGAACACAGTTAACCCTCGACTTGACCCATGGCTAACTTGCTAACTTATTAACACTAAACACTCCAGACGCTTCCACAGTTAGAGAACACCAGCTGCTAGCTGCGCACATTTAGGAGCTGCCACTGCAGAGGCTTCACCGCCATCCATCCACCATCTCAGCAATACTTGTCACCTCACCTCCCAGTGACATGGCCACAGTTTATTAATGGTTACAGGAAATGCACGTCACTCTGTAACTACAGTGGGGGATCGAAAGTTTGGCACCCCAGCTAAAAATTTGTATTAATGTGCATAAAGAAGCCAAGGAAAGATGGAAAAATCTCCAAAAGGCATCAAATTACAGATTAGACATTCTTACAAATATGTTACACAAAAGTTAGATTTTATTTCCCCATCATTTACACTTTCAAAATAACAGAAAAACAAAAAAATGGCGTCTGCAAAAGTTTTGGGCACCCTGCAGAGTTAATATCTTGTACTGCCCCCTTTGGGCAAGTATCACAGCTTGTAAAAACGCTTTTCGTAGCCGCCAAGAGTCTTCAATTCTTGTTTGAGGTATCTTTGCCCATTCTTCCTTACAAAGTCTTCCAGTTCTTTGAGATTTCTGGGCCTGTCTGTCACGCAGAAAATAAAACCCGATGAAAAAAAAACCCTAGCTTGCTCTTTAAGGTCTATCCATAGATTTTCAATTATGTTGAGGCTGGAGATTTGTGAAGCCATGGCAAAACCTTCATGTTTACGCCTCGTGATGTAATCGCCCGTGGATTTCGAGGTGTGTATTTAGGATCATGTATCCATTTGTAGAAGCCATCTTCTCTTTAACTTCAGCTTTTTCACAGATGGCATCAAGTTACCATCACAAAATTTGCTGAAATTTGATTGAATCCATTTTTCTGTCTACTCGTGAATGTTCCCTGTGCCACTGGCTGGCAACACAACCCCAAAGCATGATTGATCCAACCCCATGCTTAACAGTTAGACAGAGGTTCTTTTCATTAAATTCTGTGCCCCTTCTTCTCCAAACGTACCTTTGCTCATTCCGGGCCACAAAGTTCAATTTATAACCTCATCGGTCCACAGAAACTTGTTTCCAAAATGCATCAGGCTTGTCTTATGTTTCATATTGCAAAGTTCAAATGATGATTTTTTGTGGTGAGGACGTAGAAGAGGTTTTTATTCTGATGACTCTTCCCATGAAGACCATATTTGTACAAGTATCTCTTTATAGTGGAATAGTGTACCACAACTCCAAGCGTCTGCCAGATCTTTCTGGAGGGATCGTGCAGATCAAACGTGGGTTTTGAATTGTTTTCTTACATCCTGTGAGCTGTTCTATCTTTGGGGGGATTATTTTTCTTGGTCTTTCCAGATCTTGCTTTAACTTCCACTTTTCCTGATGACTGCATTTCTTAATTACATTCCGAACAGAGGATATTGACATCTGAAAACGCTTTGCTATCTTCTTATTATAGCCTTCTCCAGCTTTGTGAGCGTCAACTATTTTCAGTTTCAGTTTTCTAGACAAACTGCTTAGAAGAACCCATGGTGGTGATTGTTGGGGCAAGGTCAGATGAGTCCTGGCATTTAAAAAACCTTTGAGATTGACATCACCTGGTCTTCCAGACGATGATTTGAGAACAATCCATAGACACTGCAGTCCCACTTGGGCAAAGGGGCAGTGCATGCTATAAATTACTGCAAGGGTGTTCCCAAACCTTTGCAGACCATTTGTTTGTTTTCTGTTATTTGAAAGTGTAATATGATGGAAATAAAATCTAACTTTTGTTGACATATTATAAGAATATCTAATCTGATAATTTGATGCTTTTGAGATTTTTTCCATCTTTCCTCCTTGGCTTTTTTATACACATTAATACAAAACTTTTTAGCTGGGGTGCCCAAACTTTCGATCCCCACTGTATATGCTTGCTTTCTTTCCCGCTCCCAGGGGCCCCTCTACACATCCCCAGTGAATCCCCAGGCTAGGTGCCACAGGTGTGATTCCAAAATGTGGGGAACTGGCTACTAGTGAAGTCTAAACGCAATATTCCTAATGCGCACGTTCCTGCAGATGGATATTAGGTATTGCTGGCTGCTGTAGTGACCACTGGCTGGGAACCATAGACAATCCAAGTGATAAAATGTTACCAGCACACCAAAATGGGTCCAAAGCTTTATTTTGTGGTCACATGGTAAACAGAAGACCACAAAATAAAGCTTTGGGCCCATTTTGAGGAATCCTTGGTGTGCTGGTGACATTTCTTCACTTGGCTGCTAGTGAAGAGGACAAGCACAACACCCCTTCACTATCAGAGAAACTGTCACCCTACCCGCCAGTGTTTCTCAATTCCAGTCCTCATGGACCCCCAACAGTCATGTTTTCAGGATTTCCATTATTTTGCACAGGTGATTTGATCAGTTTCACTGCCTTAGTAATTACCACAGCTGTTTCATCTGAGGGAAATCCTGAAAACATGACCTGTTTGGGGGTCCATGAGGACTGGAGTTGAGAAACACTGCCCTACGCTAAGTCACCCATTCTCTGGCTGGATGGCTTCCTTAACCACCTCAACACCAGACAGTATTTTACCCCCTTCCTGCCCAGGCCTATTTTCAGCTTCCAGTGCTCTCACAGATTGAATGACAATTACTCTGTCATGCAACAATGTACCCAAACAAAATGTTTATAATTTTTTTTGAGACAGAGTTTTCTTTTGGTGGTAATTAATCACCACTGTTTTTTTTTTTGCTACATAAGCAATATAAACCAAACATTTTGAAATAAAACATGTTTTTCTTAGTTTCTATTATAAACTTTGCAAATAAGTATTTTTCTTTATAAACTTAAGGGCCAAAATGTATACTTCTACATTTCTTTAGTAAAAATAAACCCAAATCAGTGTATATTATTTAGTCTCTGTGAAAGTTATAGAGTCTACAAACTATAGTAGATATCATTGAAAATTGATCAGTCCTGATGTACTGACTGCCTAGGTCATTTTTTGAGGCCCTAAAATGCCAGGACAGTACTAATTCTCCCCAAAATTACCTCTTTTTAGAAAGTAGACAGTCCAGGGTATTTAGAGGTATTTAGTAAGAGACATGGTGAGTGTCAGGGCTCCCAGGTATGACCAGAGGTGTGTGACTGACGCAGGGAAACGCAGACTTCAGATATGTGATTAACAATGTAATTTATTAACACTAACAATACAAACATAAACGCAGTGCAATACTAAACATAATACAGTGCAAACAAACCCAACCAACCACCCACAGATAACAGTACATACAAGCAAGCGTCGTCAGGCAGGCCGGGTCATCAATATCAATTGGGCAGGTAGGTACAGGGGGAGCAAGCGGAGAATGGTCGGGGTCACAGGCCAGGTTCAGCAGGTAGCAAGCAGCGTAGTACAGAGGGTCAGGCAGAGGGATGGTCAGGGTCACAAGCCAGGGATCAGAACAGTAGCAAGCAGCGTAGTACAGAGGTCAGGCAGAGGGATGGTCAGGGTCACAAGCCAGGGATCAGAACAGGTAGCAAGCAGCGTAGTACAGAGGGTCAGGCAGAGGGATGGTCAGGGTCACAAGCCAGGGATCAGAAACAGGTAACAAAGGAACAGAAACAGGATGCAGGACAGATACAGGGCCCAGGACAAAACACAACACCAAGGCAGAGTCTGCAAGTCTGGCCATCCCTTAAATACACCAGTATCATCAGTTCCAGGTGTTAGCTGGCTGAAAGGTTGAGTCTCTGATTGCTGGGAGCACCCGCTGGCCAGCCCTGGTACTGCAGATCAAAAGGCAGGTGAGTCCCACCATTGCTGGCCAGTCCATTCCTGACAGTACCCCCCCCTCAAGGAGCGGCCTCAGGACGCTCCAAACAGTCCTAGCTGGGCAAAATGTTCCACCGCCCCGGGTCTGGTAACTGGCGGGATATCAAAGACTGGCACAACACCGGGCAGGACTCCGGGCAGCGGTACACCGGGCAGAGGCACAACGGGCTGGACTCCGGGCAGAGGCACATCAGGCTGGACTCTGGGCAGAGGCACATCGGGCTGGACTCCGGGCAGAGGCACATCGGGCTGGACTCCGGGCAGAGGCACATCGGGCTGGACTCCGGGCAGAGGCACATCGGGCTGGACTCCCGGGCAGAGGCACATCGGGCTGGACTCCGGGCAGAGGCACACCGGGCAGAGGCACATCGGGCTGGACTCCGGGCAGAGGCACATCGGGCAGGACTCGGGCAGAGGCACATCGGGCAGGACTCCGGGCAGAGGCACATCGGGCAGGACTCCCGGGCAGAGGCACATCGGGCAGGACTCCGGGCAGAGGCACATCGGGCAGGACTCCGGGCAGAGGCACATCGGGCTAGACTCCAGGCAGAGGCACATCGGCTAGACTCCGGGCAGAGGCACATCGGGCTAGACTCCGGGCAGAGGCACATCGGGCTAGACTCCGGGCAGAGGCACATCGGGCTACCAGCGGAGCG